TTAAAGTCTAAACAAAAAAATGTCCACTCCACTTGTCTCGTGCCACGAGCCTCCCCGCCGATCTTCAAGGTATAAATTTCTAACTTAAACCCCGCCCTCGACGCGCTTGACGCGCCGGTGGACCACCTATACGCTCTCTTGTAGCACGGTGAGGGGGAATCCAGTGCGACAGGTGCGACGAGGAGGGTAAGCCCTATACAGACTCTTGTAGCGTGGTGGGGACGGTCCTCGACCTCGACATTAGCACCGCCAACACTGCTACGCAAGGCATAATGTTCCAAAATCTCATTCTCGACGTTTGTAGCGGACCAGTGAACCACCTATACGCGCTCTCGTAGCACAGTAGGAGTGAGCCCGGTGTGACGCATACGACGAGGTGGGTAAGCCCTATACACGCTCTTGTAGCGTGGTGGGGAAGTCACTGGTGTTCTCGTACGGGTACTGTTGAAGGCCCCATACACGCTCTTGTAGCGTGGTGGGATGAAAAGATGTACGACCGCATTGTCTAAGGACACTTACCATACACGTTCGAGTAGCGTGGTGGGAATGCCCAGCTCCCCTACACTTTCCCCAAACTTGTGATATGCCGGGGTGCTGCCAAAATTTTCACTGAAGTGTACAAAGCTTGATCAATATAAAAACCTCACTTGAGCAGCAATACAGAGGCCCCATACTTGAATTGAAAGCATAGAACTTAAACAAAATGTGCAGATGACCTGTACGAATAACAGGGGACTTGGACTTGAATTAAACTACAAAAAAATGAATCCCAAATCCTAAAATGTATAATCAAGTCCAAAATTCAAAATGCCAAATAACAACTTAATGCATTCAAATAAATACAAAAAAATAAACGGGGGACTCATGGTGGAGAACTTTCAGATATGATTAACTTGCAAGTGACATCAGTCAAACTACAAAATGCATAATTATCATCCACATGTTACAATCAAAGACCTGTTATGAAAACAATAGTCCTCCTGCAGATTGAAATGGAGGCACCTTAAATTAACAGGAGAAACTTCTCCTGTATACAACAAGTCACATCAAGATGAGTCATTGAATACATCAATGCCTTGTAGATGACACTGTCAATATGTGTATGACCTGTCCCTACAAACAAATACAATCAACGACCATCTGCGAATGATGAAGGTGAACATAATGCAAATACAACAGACTCCTACAATAGTCCCTATAAAGTCAATGCACGGTATTTGTAAGTAACAGCAGACAGTCACAAAGTGCACGAGTACTACCCACATGTAATAATCAAAGACCCACCACGCAAACAACAGCCACCCTGTAGATTGAGAGGGTGACATTGGCAATTGATGAATAAAGATCACAATGCATATGAATAATAAATGATTATCGAAATGAGTGACTACAAACGAGGACAATCATTTATACCTGAATATATGATACACGAAAAATGATGTTGATAAATACAGTAGACTCCAATGACAGTCCCTACAATTGCCTGTAGATAGAGAGCTGAATATGCCTATAGATTGAGAGGGCAACAATGCAAATGATAGTGGAACACCTATCCTTACAAGCAAGTACAAACATCAAACCCACCTGAGATTGGTGAAAGGTGGGTATAATGTAGGCAACAATGGTTCTTCTACAAATACTTCCAGGAGGTCGTAGTGGATAAAACGGGTCCCTACAAATGCACACAAGCCGCTTGTGGGTAACAACAATGGGTATATCGTAAGTACAACTAACCCTTGTGGACATAAGTACAAGTATCACCTACGACAATGATGATTAAAATCTTTAAGTACACCTAGTACAAGGATAACTCGATGTACGAAAAAGGACACCTCTTGGCAGGATGGAATAGATGTTTGAGCAAATTCGAACTAAACTTCCTGGTGTTCCAAAATTTCTTCTTGATCCTATACTAAGGAAGAAAATAGTTATGATATCTACAAACACCGAAATAACAAGTCCACTACACTGAATATCTAAAAAGAAGTTCTTTGTAAGGCAGTGGCCACGAATTGCAAGAAAGACCCCTCGGTGAATGAGAAAAGGGGAGTCAACATCAAGACCACACTGCCACTGGATCCGCAACACTCGTATTAGCAGACAGAAGGCATATAAGCTCTCAAAATGAAATGTTGTGCGTATCCAAATGACAATTACCCGCACAACTAAACTATTTCAAAATACTCATGCACGTGCACTATAGTTTGTATACACATAGATACACGAAGGGTATGTCCAATCAATGAAATTCTCAAACACCCGCATGGGCCCGACGAGTGTACTATTGGTACACACGTGACGTCTAGGGAGGCTGTGCAGGACGATAAGTGAATTCAAATTTGAACCCGATCCTTCTATAGGGATCAATAGGAGTGGACAGAGTTTGAACCATCGGATAAATATGCGGTCACGAAGTCAACCGGAATATTTATCTTATACATTCATATTAGGCCTTCAAGGTATATAACAAAAGAAATTCATTCTCAATGCCATAAAGCCTACAAAATTTGATCCTCTGTCGATAACTCGATAGAGTTGACAAGATTCAATCCATAAAGAGAAATGACCCCAAACACCCCGATGATAGCCGTGTTGAATGAAAATCTCAACCGGAGGGGTCCACAAATGATTCAAATGCTTTCAAAATGCCATCCCAAATATCCCAAAATTCAAACTTCGAGAGAAATATCAATGCCAAATATTTAAAATTGAAATCAAACCATCAAACACTTAAAGCACAAAATACATCCACCCTCCGCAACAGTTTGCTCACATGGGGCTAAATGTCTAGACGAAAATATCACTAGGATCCATTCTTAAACAATCTTCTACCATTAAGGACATGGTATGTGTCCTCTAACCGACAGTTTTGCCGGCAAATGGCACCGCAAGATAAACGGTTATGTCTCAGGACCCTCTGAACCGAGTGGTTTTGCTGCCAAATGGCACCACGAAATACCGGTTATGGCCAAAACCATGGTTTAAAATTGCGCAATATGAGGCACGTCTTGAGGCCCGCCTTTGCACAATTCCAGTAAAAAAACGCCTCGATGCTTACGCCACGAGTTTTTTTTATGAGGCTTGCGCCTTAACTTGGTTGAGGTCCGCCTCGCCTCACGCTATATATATATATATATATTATTCACTCAATAGTATATAAAAAATTTATCATTTTATGTTTACGCAATCTTTTGATTTTGAGGCTTACGCCTCAAAACGCCTTGAGGCTTACGCCTCGCCTCACGAATGAAAAACGCCTCAATACCCAAATACGCAATTTTAAACATTGGCCAAAACCAATACGTTCTTTATTGGCATCAAATCCTTGAGATATTAATCAATAGGATATGATCGATAGGGCACCAAGTCCTCTGTTAGCTAAGGTGGATTCAAATTTGTCCCCTTAAACAAATATTAACCCAGGTCTATAAGGTCCCCTTGGACGAAGCAACCCATGGCTGCCGACAAGGATCCTTCTGTCAGGTTGGGTTGACTACCTCCTCTGACTAAGTAGACCAGGGACCACGATGGCCCGGAACGACGGAACCATGGGATCTTGATCGGGTCCATCATTCATTCACCCACCATCCGATTTAAGTGCAAGATGGTGAAAATTTTTAAATATCAAACTTTTCAAATTTCCAAATCCAAACCCAATTCCCAAAATTCTCAAACCCATGCTGCTATTATATGCTTGATATTGTGTATCTACAGATATAATGTATCTGATGGACGACTAGCCTTAATCGATAGTTCTCTCTTGTTATCAGGAGGGGTAATTAACTATAAGTGCTTACGCCTATAGGAAACCAGAACTCAGATCATAAAGTCCTCGCAAATGAGGGTGAAATCTCTGGGTAGTGTCTTATCTACAAACCCATCTGGCTTCCAAAATTTACCCCGGAACTCAATTCGTTAAAACTCCCTCGTCGAAGAAAAAACAAATCGAGCGGGCGGAGGCCGAGGCCAAATTTTTTGAGCCCACAATTTCGTTGTCAAATGACACCATAGGTAACATTTATCACCAGGACCCTTTGACCAAATAGTTTTATCGCAAAATGACACTATTAAATTACATTCATGTCCAGAGCATGTATGCTCCCCAACGACGCTAAATCATTAAGTAATGAATCAATAGAGTGATCGAATATGTCAACTTAAAAAAACATTCACCCCAGGTCAAATAAGAAAACCTTGGACGATGCAACTCATGGTTGCCGACAAGTATCTTTCGGTAAGGTTTGGTCGACTACATTGTCTGACTAAGTAGACTAGGGACCATGATGGTCTGAGACGATGGAATCATGGGATCTTAATCGGTTTCATCATCATTTCTCCCCCATCATCCTCTTTAAGTGCGCGGTGATATAATATTTAATTTTTAAAAATCAAATTATGCTGCTACTATACACCAGATACTATGTATCTATTTGACGACTAACCTTAATCGAAAGTTCTCTCTCACGATCGAGAGGGGAAATTAACTATAGAGGCTTGTGCCTATAGGAAACCTGAACTCATATCATAAAGTCTTTGCAAAATGAGGGTGAAATCTCTGAGTAATGTCTTATCTAAAACCTAATGTCTTCTCAAAATTTGCCTCGGAACTTAATCATTAAAACTTTCCTCGACGACTCGAAAAGAGAAAGGAGTCGCAAAGAGGCCGGGGCACGAATTTTTGAAGCACACAATTATAAATAATAATTTTTTCTTTTGTCCAAATAAGTGTTATCAGTATGTTCTTATTAAGGGCAATTCACACAACATTTGACAATAAGGTTTAAGCTTGTTCCTTTATCTAATCTTGTATGTTTGAAATTAATATTGCGCATGTCAGGACTCTACTCAAATAAGCTGAAAAAATTTTACACCACACACCAATATCTCTTAGTCCAGTGTTTTCTTATTGTTCATTTGCATAATTAAGTGGCATTTTGCAGTATTCTCATAACGATTTTAATGAAAAAATAATTAAAGAAAATCATCAGTTGTGAATATACCCTCGGGCTGAAGTACCGAGTTTGTTCCTTCTGCTCTGTAGCTGTCCTAAAAAGGCCACCCTTGAAAACCTGCAATAATGCTTTGAACTGCATGAGTGACATATAAAAATGGAAAGAGCACGTGTCCCTTTAAATAGAGAATATAAAGCCAAGAACAAGACTATTTTCATAAAGAATGAAAAAAATGCTAAAAGTTAAAATAAATAGAGGCATTAAAGTAATATTGCTAATTTATCAATGCGTTATAAGATTTTTATGAAAAAATGCAGAAAAGATCAGCATTCAAAATCAGTCCTAAATATGGTTGGTAAAAATTATGTAAAAGAAGAAAATCATGTGCAAGATCATTTTTAGCTTCACGCATATGGAATAATTTTTCAATAAAAAATAATTTTAGACGATGCAAAATTATCTTTTCAACCTCACGATAAAAGGAATATTAAAGGAACAATGGAAGAAGTACATATTGCAGAATTACTATGGTCTACAATTTTAATGATCCGCGATCAAGAGCTTATGATTCCAAGTTGATATAGAATATTTATCAGACTGTTAGGATATATGAACTTGAAGATTTCTTTTCAAGCAAAAAAACGAGGAATGCAAAGAAATTCAAAGGGATTGCCAGATCAACATATAAAAAAGCAAAACAGAAAATTACTTTTGAAGATGATACAGTAGCAAATATCCATCTAATAGTTGCAGATAACAATGGTTAGCTCTCATATATAGTGCTAAGTTAGTAACCTTTTGAATATTGGGAATGATGATATATTTTTCATCTTATTTTAGTCTGCCTTGAAAAGCAAAATTTGAAACCTTCTATCCATTTGAGGATCAATAGATGGTAAGCTAAGACCTAATACAAAAAAGCTACATGAAATAATCATCATCAGTATGAGTGGAAAGAAGCCTAATTGTCCTGGAGAATTGGTAACAATAATTTTGGGAGCATATCAGATTATGATATCCACATTGGGGCTTAGTATAGCAAACAAGACGCTTAATGTTCTGATTCCATAATTACATCAATGGTCCGTTCTAAATTTGTGTGCATGCCTAATCTAAAGGTCTCATGCCTCCACCACTAGTAATGGTAGATTATAATTACATGCTTGCTCCTCAAGAACTTGATTGTCCAGATAAATTGCAAATAATTTTCTCAATTATAGGTGAGCTTCGAAGCAATCTGAATAGTTGTGCCCAAAAATTTTGCAAGAGATGCGATACGACTAAATGCTTTAATATACAACATTATGCTAATAGCTACAAGAGGAGGAGCCAATCGTAACCAACCTATCCTAAGGCAAAGTAACTTCCATCTCAACTAGAAGGTCTAGAAAGTCAACCGGTGACAAAATCTACTTGCAAAAGTTTGCCAAAGATAGAACCCAAAGAATAAAGTAGACTAATTGAAGTATAGATGAAGTCGAGGAAAAGAAACCCAAACTAGAGTGACAGGGAGTTTCGTCCATGAATCAAAGTGAGAAGACCACTATAATATGCATATTGAATGACAAAACACGTAAAATGTTCTCATGAAATTAATATAAAGTAATTATTTTAACTGATAACTTGAAAAATAAAGACAAGGATCAAGAAGATCAATAGAATATTCTACAATAAACTGCAAGTCTATCATAAATGTACTTATAATCTCAAGGTTGTGACACCCCATGGAGAACTTGCCCACTATGGAGGAGAATAAAATAGCTAGCTCAAAAATCTAAAATTTGGTGAAAATATAAGTTGGTTTACCCTAAAACTTGGAGGGTTATTTATGTTAAGGAAAGTCTATAGCTTGATGAAAAGGCAATAGGAACAGATGGATGGTGTCTGCTGAAATCTAGATAAAATCTCAGTTCCTCAAAAACATCGATAAAGGAACAAGGAGAACTAGCAGCAGAAGATTCAGAAGTCATATTAGGGCGAGCTGTTGAAGATGAAACCACATAAGAAACATTTGACATTGAGACCGATGCCAGCAATGAAACAACCTTGTCAAGCAAAACAACTTGAGGAGAAAACGAAAATGACAATGAAGGAATGGAATGGAAATAAATGAATGATCCTGAGTATGGGAAAAGAGGAAGCATAGTGACAATAGATGGAAGTTTTTGAAAAGAAGTTAAACATCTACGAGAAACATCGAGACAACAAGTATGTGATCCAAGGTATTGATGACAGATACGGCACGGACACTACCAGCCCAGCGCCTACACTCTAAGAGCAAAGGCATAAGGACGAAAACAAAGGCTAAACCCAAACACAAGCGATAAAGAAGGCATGCGAGGCAGAGACTGCATGAAGAAGAGCAAATGAGAACCATGGACTCAGGGAATGATGCAATGAATGCATAAGAGGATAAGGAGATATGAGCAACAATGAGAAGAGCGATGGTCACGACAACAACTGGGAACTTGAAAATAAGAGCAAAAGATATGGTTGCAAGGATTGCAAAAATGCCCATACGAGCATGAAATGCATGCAGTAGATTTAATGTAGCTAAGTAGAGATGATTATAAACAATTATAACAAACCAATTAAAAATTAATTTAATATTCCAAAGCAATCCATCTAGGTTCAAAAAATCATAGTAGTGTTTAGCATGGTTGATTTTAATATATTTAAATGAAATTTTTTAAAAGCAAAAGATTCTTATCATATTCAAAAAAAAAATTAAGACCTTAAGAATGTCCCACAACCTACTCGAAGGTTTTAAAAACTTGTGAGCATAATTAATGTTGTCCTCAATATGAAATCAATCAAGCGCTCATTGGCTTGAAATTGAAGAGCTCTAGCCCTAACTAGGATTAGCAAAGTTGAGTCTACTTCGAGTTTACATGGCCAGCCCTGATGGGCAGACCCTACCATGGGTCAGCATGGATAAACATTGCTGAATTAGTATGAAATATTAGAGAGCCTTCAAAATCATGGCTCCCCTTTTTAAGTAAATTGTTCTTGCAAATAAAATTTGAAGAGAAGCTATGATGCACCGACACTCCGCTTAAAGAGGGTATGCAGTGTCGGACACGGACACGCATCCGACACTGCATGGACACGTGTCCGACAAGGCATTGGAGTGTCGCGATTTAAAAAATTAAAATTAAAATCAAATACGCATGTCGGACACGCCTGTCCGATTATTAAATAATAAAATCGTCCGATTCGTTCTATTTAGCCTTTTCCGCGAACAAGAAGCCCTATTTTTCCAATCCACGAATGAAATCTTCTAGGGCAGACCGGGCGAGCTCGCAGCCGACGCCAAACGGAGCCTGCTGCCTTCGCCTCCCGTTGCTTCATCATTTCTGCTCAAGCCGAGGCCAAGCATAGCTCGTCTTTCCCATTCCTTAGTTCCTGCATGATTTCTGTGGTCAGCTGAGGCAAAGTTTGCAATCAACGCCAAACAGAGCACCTTCTGCATGTAAGAGAGCCAAGACCTATAAATGGATTTCGCCATTTCTTCTCATCATTGTTGAAAATGTCTAGATTAATTGAAATATTAAATGTTGTTTTTTTGAAACTTACTAAAAAAAACTAATGTACATGCTTGGTACCGCTAGGTATCGCTAGGTACATGATCGGTACCGCTTAGTACATGCTCGGTACCGCTGGGTACAAGCTCGATACCGCTGGGTACAAGCTCGGTAGTGCTGGATACATGCTTGGTACCGCTGGGTACATGCTCAGAACCGTTGGGTACAAGCTCGATACCGCTAGGTACAAGCTCGGTATTGCTGGGTACAAGCTCGGTATCGCTGGGTACAAGCTCGATACCGCTCAGTACATGCTCAGTACTGCTAGGTACAAGCTCGGTACCGATAGGTACATGCTCGGTAACGCTCGGTATCTTTCCATACAAACAACTTACGAAGTTTAAAAACAAGTAGAACTTCAAAATTACCCTTACCCTAAAAATTTGTTCCTGGTGCGCTGCCCCCAGAAACCCCTGCAGGTCGAACCCCAGAAGGGGGCAGCTGGACCCCCGGCAGACCGGTATATTGTTGTATTCATGTTGTCTTATTATTGGAATATTTTGATTTCACTTCATATCAATTTAACTTGATATATTCCTATGTATAATTGGTTTGTTACAATTTTATCTAGATAAAAACAATGAATAATCAATATATAAATGAAATTATAATTTCTATGTTGAAGGATAGTAGTTCAAATATAGAATATCCATTATGATTTAGGAGGAATATACACCAAGCTCTAATTTGTTAGTGTCATATAATCTATTTCACCAATGAGTTAGTGTCATTTAGTCTATGACATAATGTTTTAAATAGGCATGTCTGCTTTCCCATACATGTCATATTGTCATATAATCTATGACATAATATTTTAAATGTTTTAAAATATGTCAACTAATTTGTTAAAACTTTTTTCTTCTATTACACCAATGTATTTTAAAGCAAACTGAGCTCTGCTGCTGGCGGGCGTGGATTAGGTGAAGGTTCAAAAGAGTCATCTTTATAAACTGATAAGTCGTTATGGATTCATGTTACAAAGTTAGGGAAAAAATTTGATGGAGAAGGGAATGTGTCATTCAAATGCAATTATTGTGCTGGCATCTGCAAAGAATATTATTCTAGGGTGAAGGCACATCTACTTAAGATTTCTGGCCATGGAATTAAAATGTGTCATAAGATTACGACGTCGCAGTTGATTGAATTGAACAGACAAGTTGATGAAGCTGAATCTAGAATCAAAAGGACACTCCCTAAAGAGAAACATTTGTCATCTACTCATGGCTCATCCCACACTTCTTACTCATCTGTGAGAGTAGATCAAGCTTTATCATTTAGAAGTGAAGGATATGAAATAAAGAAAAGAAAAGGAGTTGTCAGTAGTCCTCTAGAGAACGCTTTTAATATGCAGCAGCGAGAGGAATTGGATGGTGAAATAGCAAGGATGTTTTTTTCAGCGGGACTTCCTTTCAACCTTGCAAGGAATCATTATTATAAAAATGAACAACCTTGAAGGATATGTTCCACCTGGCTACAATGCATTAAGATCGAAATTATTAGAAAGGAAAAGAGTACATATTGAGACATTTCTTGAACCAACAAAAGGAGTGTAGAAAGAAAAAGGTGTTAGTTTCATGTGTGATGGTTGGACAGATCCTCAAAGAAGACATCTTATTAATTTCATGACCGTTACAGAGAATTATCAAATGTTCATTAAAGTTGTGAATTGTGAAGGAGTACAAGGATAAACATTTCATTGTCAATTTGATTAAAGAGGTGATAGTCATGATTGGGCCTTCAAATGTTGTGCAGGTAATTACAGATAATGCGCCAGTGTGTAGAGCTGCAGGATTATTGGTGGAGCAAACTTATCCCAATATATTTTGGACACCCTGTGTTGTGCAGACTTTAAATCTTGCTCTAAAAAATATTTGTGCAGCAAAGAATACAAAGGCTAATGAAATCATCTATGTTGAATGTCATTGAATAACAGTTATTGCAGATAATGTTGTTCTGATCAGAAATTTTATTATGAACCATTCGATGAGACTTTCAATGTTTAATGATTTCTCCCACTTAAGAATCTTAGCTATTGCTGAAACTCTTTTTGTCTCTGTAATAATCATGTTGAGAAGATTCAAACAAATTAAAAATGATCTTCAATTTATGGTGATTAATGAGAAGTGGTCTTGCTATCGAGAAGATGATGTTGGGAAGGCAATGTATGTTAAAGAAAATGTCTTAGATGATTTGTGGTGGGATAATGTAGACTACATTTTGGCTTTTACTAATCCAATTTATGATATGTTGAGAAAGGCTGACACAGATAAATCATGCCTACATTTAATTTATAAGATGTGGGACTCTATATTAGCAAAAGTAAAAGAAATTATATACACACATGAAAGAAAGTCACATAAAGAAGACTCAAGTTTTTGGAGTGTTGTATATATCATTCTTGAAGATAGGTGGAGGAAAAGCAACACACCTATGCATTGTTTGACTCATTCATTAAATCCAAGGTACATTTGTATTCATCTTTTAAATTAATTAAAATTTTTTGGTAAATGAACAGATAATTTTATATGCTTTGTATTATTTGAATGTATTCAAGTAAAGAATAGCTTCAAAAAGACCCTCAACATGTCTTACCACAAAAAGATTTAGAAGTTTCAAATATGAGAAAGATTGCCTAAAAAGTTATTTCCCAAATGAGGAGAGAAGAAAAATCAATATAGAACTTGCAAAGTTCTTTGCATATTTAGAGGATTTTGCTGATCAAGAATCTTTAGTTGATAGATGGATAATGGATCCAAAAATGTGATGGTTGATTCATGGAGCTTCAGCACTGCTTCTTCAAACAATAGCAATAAAAATTCTTAGTCAAGTATCATCCTCTTCCTGTTGTGAGAGAAATTGGAGCACAAACTCATTTATTCAATCAATGAAGATGAATAAAATAACTCCACAACGCGCTGAAGATTTAATTTATGTGCATACAAATCTTCGTCTTCTATCAAGGAAAACCCCACTTGATATGATAGGTGATAACAAGATTTAGGATGTTGCTGGAGATGGGTTTGAATGTCTTGATGATATGTGATTATTGAAGGTTGCAAATCTTTCTCTAGATGAACTAGAGTTGGAAGCAATGATATTCAATGATGATGATATTGAAGGCCAAAGACCAACCTCTGAATCTAATTCTATCATTCCTTCTATTGAGTAGTTGGACCTTCATGTTGTACTAAATGATGTTTTGTTTATATTTTTGTGGTTGTACTATACATTTTGTACTAATTAAACATCTTTATGTTATAAACAAGTTATCATGAAATATAAGTTATACTATCATTTATTATTGCTTATCATTTTTAATACAATGTCACCTTAATTTCTATATATTATATTAAAACATTATTACGTCGTGTCCACACCGCACCCGTATATTTTTAAAAAATGTCGTGTCCCATGTCCGTGTTGTGTCGTGTCCGTGTCGCCGTGTTCGTGTCGATGCATCATAGAAGAGAAGCCTCCGTTGCACTAATTTCCTTGGTCTCTAAGTAACGCTTAAAGGAACTGGTGAAATTGTCTGTAGCTGATTTATTTTTTCTACTTTCTATTGCATTCCTCAGTTATCTTTCCTTTTTCCTCGTTATGTTTTTTTCTTTGATTTTGATCTTAATATTAACCTACTCTGCGGAGTCTGCTGCCTGCCACAATCAAAAATGTAGATCTACCATTGGTTGTAAGAAAATGCAAGGACTAACTGCAACCTCATGCCTTATGAATATATGCTTCGCAGGTTATGCTTTCCATCAGTTGTCGAGCTTGACTCTTGGTTTCCTAGTTGAAAATTATAGCATATGCTTAAATCAAAAACCAATTTTCATTTTCATTGCCCCTAGTTTGCTTCTGCTCACATATCACATTTTAAATCTAGACTTTGCTTGCATCATATAGAAAATATTAAGAATTTCAATCCTTGTTTTAACTGCTCGCAAAATTGTTTTGCATGTTTAGTAAACATCTGAAGCTTATATTGCATTAAGCATTACACATGAAAAACATCCCTAGTTACTCAAACATCGAGGATGAAGATTTTAATCACCTTTTTTAACAAGAAACCAATCTTAAATTCAATTATAAGCCTAGAATTACAAAGTAAAGCATGAAACTTAGTCTTAATTCAAGTCAATATGGGTACAAATATGGGTCAGTAGAACTAAGAACTAACCTGGATCTAATACAAATTTTGAAAAACAGGTCGTCCATATAATGACTATAAGTTTTATTCCCATCTTCAACCTGGACTGCAAACAAAAGGTCGGTTTTCTTTTGCCATTGAGGGACCAAAATCCTACCTAGTATCCATACATATGTATGGAAAAAGTTAATGCAATAGGACATGCTCTTAAGATGTCAAATATGTTTAAAATTTTATAGACTTAAAAACAAATCTAGACATTATGTTAAATTATACAAATCAACATATATTTTCTTATAATATTATATAACTAATAAAGTCAGGATGTCAATGGAGAAGCCCTATAACAGTTTCAAATTCAACACTTGATCTATCAAATACATCCAATTCGAATCATTATCTATTTATCAAATTTCAACCAAAAAAACGATCTTAGGTTCATGGATCTTGCCAATAGTCAACAGACCTATTCTAAAAATTAACACCAGAAGTACAAGAACAAAGAAGCTTCACATAGTTTTTTCACTTAGGCAGCATTTTCATATGTATGGGGTCAATCCTGAATAAGACAGCAACAAGATATGTGCCACAGCAATAGCAAATACCAATGCAACATATTAGAAAAGGTGCAATATATCATACCTGCATTTTATATATCTTTTCTTCAACAGTTCCACAAGTCATCAACCTATAAACAAGTACATCTCTTTTTTGCCCAATTCGATAAGCACGATCAACACTTTGGTTGTCAGTGCTGTAGATAAACAAATAAAAAAGTAATCTATCAAAATTATTAAATGAGAAAGGAAATCAAGCATATGTAATATGTAATATGTAATATTCGATAAACACATCAACACTTTGGTTATAAAATTAAAATAAAATAAAATTTAAAATAGTGAATATGTAATATCTGATTTTAACTATTTCTACATGAATTATTTAGTATTTTGTTTATATTCAATAACAGAGAAAAACTCATGAATAACTTGAAAAGAGAAGCTCAATAAAGTCAGAAGGATAGAATGCCATATCTATTGGATTAGGGAACCGTTCATCCATCCAAATCTTATCTTATGTCCAGTAGCGACAAATTGAAAACCTTAAATAAAAGATTATCATATATTCAGAATTGTTTATGCAAAAATATATCCATCAAAAGTATGTTGAAAAACGTTTCCAACTATTGAGGCTCTTGTGATCAAAAATCACTTCATGCATGATCAAATTAGGTACTAATGTGGGCTCCGAAAATTCGGCCCCAGCCTCCCCGCCGCGCGATTTCTTTCTGTTTATTCGGCGAGGGGAGTTTTAACGGATTAGGTTCCGGGGTAAATTTTGGAAGGCAGATGGGTTTGTAGATAAGACACTACCCAGAGATTTCGCCCTCATTTTGCGAGGACTTTATGATCTGAGTTCTGGTTTCCTATAGGCGCAAGCCCCTATAGTTAATTACCCCTCCCGATCACGAGAGAGAACTTTCGATTAAGGCTAGTCATCGATCAGATACGTAGAGATACGTGTTATCTGGCATATAGTAGCAGCAATAGATTGGATACTGATAGAAATTGGATTTGGAAATTGGATATTTTGAAGATTTTGGATTTGGAAATTGAAGAATTGGGTTTTTGGATTTT